CATAACACATACAACGTTGCCTCGTCGACAATCCGAACACATAAGCGCGATAGAGGAAATTCACCCACGCCATGGCACCTAAAGACACCCAGGCTCGAGTCCCGCTGGGGTGCTGATGAGACCTAGGCGAGATTAAAAAAGCGGTCTATTCCAGCCTAGATGGGAATAGCTTTTGGGAAGCAAGTCTATGTGAAACTGAATGGGAATATGAGGCCATATCCTTGTGGGAAATTCACCTTCATCACCTAAAGCGAGGTAGGATCATTTGTTCCCTATGCTTCATACGTTATTGGAATTGATATATCTTCCTTAAGGACATATGTTCATGTTAAATTAGAGGGAAGTTAATATAGTCCAAATACAGTGGAAATATAAGCTGAATTAAATAAACTTGATAATACGTTTGGCTCTTTACTAGGTGCGTTCCAATAAGTCTTCCTACTAATATGACCATGTTGCGAAAACAAGGTCAAACAACCTCAAGTATTTATTTTTCGTTTTTAAGTATCTTTTCAAGACTGGAAGTAGATCAAATATATGAAATGTATTCACCCTATTTCTTCAATCCCATTAAAGAATGTGGTATATGAAAATGCCTGGCCTTCATTAAAGTTCACATCTCCCCTGTGACCCAAGGGAACTCGTTGCCGTGTGACGTGAGTCGATCGCTATAACAAACATAACTTTATATCATCGACAATCCTTCCACGGATATGGAAGAATGTTTGGTCTTCCTTGAAATGCACATCTGCCCTGTGGCCCAACGGCACTCGGGGCATTATGACGTGGTGGTTAACGCATCGAGATTATACGCCTCCATATCATGGTTCGAGTTTCGCTGGGGTGCTGATAAGGCATAGGCGAGGTATAACCGGCAGTCCAACCTAGATTAGAACACATTTTGGGGGCCAAAGCTCTGTGAAGTTGAATGGAAACTTTCGGCCCATTCATATAATTATGGAAAAATTCATCTAACATTCCTCTACACTTTAAACGAAATATGGTAAAGACATCTCATCTCGAAAACCTGGTTTTGGTACGAGTATACTTTTGAGGCATTTAACGAGGTTGGGTTAAATTTAGTTTACTGGTATCGTGATGATTCTTAGTCTCATTGTGTGTAAATTATCCCAATATTTCTCAATTAACCCGAAACTATCTAGCTTTTATAAGTTCGTATTTAAAAAGAAATGATAGCTTCGGATTATAATCACATCGAAAAAATGTTATATTTTAACTTTTTTTCTGGTTTGATATTATTGTCGTTCATTAATCATACCTCTATTTTTTCTACTTCATCCAAGAGTGCTTTTGAGAATCCTGAAAGAAAGTTGAACCGAATATGACTATACTAATAAAGAATAAACGAGCCTGTATTTCTAGTTGCTACCTGACTCATCAGATTGAGTCACTTTGTAATCCCCTGTACTTGTCTTCCAAAATGAAATGATACTCTTGAAGACACAAGTCTCTCTGAAAGGCGAGCAAGCCAAATATGGAAAAGTATGATGATAAACTTCTGAAAGTCGGAGTCTTCTTCGAGTTCGCAACATTTTCCTGACTTGGCTTCATCAGAGTACCATTTGATTTGATCCTTAAAATAATAGGTGATAATGCTCCTGCCAGGAGAACTCGAATCCAATGAAAAAATAAATACAAATTTGTTAACGAGTTTTGAGCATGTACTCACAGAAAACCATTTAATCTGACCAGTGCCCTCCATTTGACCCTTCGCAATGGAAGAGTTAGGTTGAAGCATTGCTCATAAGATATAACAGGATTTTTGCAAAATAATTCCTATCCTCTCAGAACTTGTATTGACGATGCATTGGATAACAGAGTGAATGTAACGTTCCAGGTCAGCCTGACCTTTACCAACGTTGTTACTGTGGCAAACACGTATTTGCCAATAAATTAATAATTCTACTTATATTTGATTTAAGTAGGCTTAAATAATTAGTAAAAATGATTTGCCTCGAGTTTCAGTAGTTTTTCCGAGCCAATCTCATTGCAATTTTGGGCAGACAGCTTATCGAGCAAAAACATCTGATTTTACAATTCTCCTATTAGAAGCTCTTTCCTCCAGCATGTGTTATTCTAAATAAATCAGTATTATCTGTATATTAATATAAGATATATATATATATATATATATATATATACATATATCATTTTTTTTCTCATACTCAACTCCTCCACTTTGTATTTCTCAGAAGACCGATACATAATTGATATTAATATTAATATATAAATAAATAAATATATATAAGGTGCTTACAATTATGTGCATAAGGACAAATGGTCTTTAAGTCCACGTGCCTGCCTAATCTGAATATGGGATTGAGGTTATGAAAGTGAGGGAAGGGTGGGATATTTGGTAATTAAGAAGGAGACTTGATTTATCATCAGACCCCTGCAGTTTCGCAAGGCTTTCTCCGGTTATCCGTCTTTGTTCTTCTTAGCTTATGATGCTTTTGACACAGAGAGCTTCGGCTTGATCACCTTTTCGCGAAAGAATGTCTGTATTTTGTAGGCTGCATACTGTTCTCGCTGGCGTTGGTACGTGTTGCTGATGATTGGAATAGTTTCTCTGGCCTCTTTCGTCCTTCTTGCCGCACCCCAAGGCCATTGAAAGAGAAGCATCCGAAGGCTTTGCTTCCTTTCGTTTTTGTCAAACGAGGACTGCTGTTGATCCAAAGAAGTCATTTTTGTCACTATTTCCATACTCTTTTCCGTCTTTTGCTTTTTTCCCTTCTTTCCATTTGCAACTTGCTGTATCTCGTGTTTCGGCAATTTATCGTCATACTCATCAGTAATCTTCATCTTTGTCCGTTCACTCTCTTTGGATTTGCTATTTTGTGGTGCATGGCTGGCCGTTTTATGCCTCAACAATTCAGGAACTACATTATCCTTGTTGGCCGTCAGTTTCTGTCGAGAGTTCGCTAAGTCATTCATCCGTTCTGGAATATCTGCCTTCAATTTGCTCACCTCCTCTTCCATGAGGGTTATCAGCTCGTCATCCAGGTTATCTTCACTCTTCTGCTTAGAGACTATTGACTTGCTCGTTTTTGTTTCCTTCCATTTAAGACTTCTTCTCATCTCATTTTCTCTCATTTTCTCTTGCACTGCATTGTTTGTTTCCTCACTGTCAACGTCTTCTTGCTCATTATCGCCGTACTCATCATCTTCATAGTCGGGCTCTGCCTCAGTTACCGCGGCCGAGTTACTGTTACGCAGACGGCCAGCTTCTTTTATTGCCTGCAGCATTGCTTTGTCGGCGGGCTTTGCAAAGAAGTGGAGCGTCAACGCTTCCAGCAGATCGGTGTGGCCGATTCGGTCGTTCTGGTAGATTGGAATCGCGAGACGAGCCAACTGGATTCGATTCGGTTGCTGGATGCCGAGTGGCCGACCCAGCCGGTGCACGAACTCATTGAGATCTGTCAGATTGATGAAGCCTGTCGCCTTCAGATCATACTCCTCCCACATATCGTAGAAGAGATCATAGTCATCCTTGAAATAGGACAAAGGAAAATAAAGTTACCCGTCAAGACAAGCCTGTCTGATGGTTAAAACCCTCTAACGAATGAGTATAAATAAAATATAAATAAACAAATAAATATAATAAAATAATTAACTGAAAAATGGGTATAAAATATATCTGCTACTAATTGAGGAATAGGAAAAACTATGACAATTGAAAGAGTAGGGAGCACT